TTGGTGCCTAGAGATCAGGGACTGACTTAGGTAACTTCAGCAGCCCTTTCTCCTTGGCCCATTGCTCTCGCTATAGAGAGATGCCTTTGGAAAGCTGGGAGTTTAATCTCCTTGAATATTCATCTTGAGGTTTGTGAGTGACTAGTTTCCTCCTCTGCCCCCCAAATGGGATCAGGTATTGCAAAAGTCATGAGACCCCTGCATGTCCACATCTTCTCCTATATCTCTCAAGGCAAGTGAAGACCCTCCCTCCACTGGGTCTGCTGAGCCCTCATCCCCCTATTTCCAGCCACAGAGTTATGTCTGACTGCACAGCAAACTTGCAAGGCAGGGCAAATGGCAACGGGAGCTGAAGCTTGCTCAGCCCACCCCTCATGGACCCCTGAGGCTTTGGACCTTCTTGCCCAGATATCATGGTTTTGTGGAGGTCCCTGCTGCTTGTCTTTAGGGGGACAGGTAGCACTAGCGCTTTATCAAAATAACTCCGAAGCTGACGAATACAGGCATGAGTACAACCTGTAGAAAAGGTCCCGGGAGCAAGGCCACTGCTTCCATATGGAGGAGCTGTGTCAGCTAGCGCCAGGGCATGGAATCATCAACTCCAGAAAGGCGAGGGACCTCAGGACCTGGGTCAGGGTCTGGCTTGGATTCTGTGAAGCTTTCCCAAAGCTCCCTACAGGGCTACTGTATGGTAAATACCTTCTCCTGCTTCCCTGCCCTGCAGGCTCTTTGGCAGCTCCTTTTTTATGCGACTAAGAAACTAGTGTAAATGTGTGTCCACATGTATGGCCTTGCTGGGTCACCATGGCAGTAAGTGACCTGGCCCTTTGGTGCAGCTTCACCTTTCAGCTATAACAGAAAAGATTCATGAGCAGGCTGTGGCTTGTTGGTTTGTTGGTACCAAGGAAGGGTTGCTACATTTACCCAATAGCAAACTTCAAGGGTCTCTCTGGAGTTGGGGAGCACTAACTTTGTCTATCAAAGCGATTCTTGGTAGGGATTCATTTTGTGGAAAACAGCACAGCGCCTTGCTAGCACTTGCATCTCATGGTATCTTTATTTCAGAAGGGCAGCCCCCTCAAGCTGCCGCATGGTCAGCCACTCTTCCTCTCGCCGTTAGATTCAGGAGATTGTTGTCCTAGCTGAAGGACTCTGTAGTCTGATAAGATTCCTTATTTAGTTTTTGAATAAATTACTTGGATTTTTGCCCGAGTAATTCCAATGTAGGCTCTTTCTTTCTTTTTTAAGAAAATCTTTATTTTTCTTAAACTGTATCATACAGAATTGCAGGTAGAAACAATTGTATCTAAAGAACCAATTGCATGTAATTAGAAACCAAAGCATAAGGGGATTTCAAGAGAGGAGTTACACATTCTAGTTACAAAATAGAAAAATATCAGATATTGGGCTGACCCGGTGGCGCTCCCGCCGAGGGTTCGGATCCCACATACAGACCGGTTCCCGCTCACTGGCTGAGCGAGGTGTGGGGGCAACGCCGAGGGTTGCGATCCCGTTGCCGGTCCCGGTCCGGTACGGGCGCGACACTGAGGGTTGTGATCCGTTGCCGGACACGAAAAAAGACAAAAAGGAAAAAAAAAAAGAAAGAAAGAAAAATATCAGATATTGAATTGAGCATAGAGATATAACATAAGTTATGAGAAAAATCTTTTAAATATCTATAATATTTTCAGTGCTTTACTACAGACTAAAGTAGCTTTAAACAAGAATGAATTCAGTAGGTGATAAACTAAAAACTATAAATATGAGATAACTTAATTTTTAAAGACTTTCAATGCTGCTCATTCTCTGGGACTCAAATATCTCAAATTTCACCTACTCCTTAAACTTTTTGTAGTCCTTCACCCAGTGATGCCCTCTCCCTCCCCTGGAACTTCCTGATGTTTTGTTTGTACCTCCCATTTTAGTCAGCCTTATGTTTTGTTTCTTTTATACTTGTCTCATACCTTGCTTTCCCCTTCCCTCAACTAGATCCTTAGTTCCTTGAAAACAGTTTATCTTATCTATTTTGCACCCCCCCCCCCAGAGTACCTAGCACAGAGACTAAACCATAGAAGGTGGTCAATAGCCATACAAAAAATAACAAAAATGTGATCCTGGCCAAGCAGTTATTAATGGGATAATAAGCAAAGAATGTTTTATCATTGGCTTTCTAGTCATGCAGTAACTTTTCAGTGCCTAAAGGACACCCTGCTGGTTTTACAGGAGCTTGGCAAATAAACTCCCCTCTCAGGCAGACACAGGTGCAATCTCGCTAATGTTGCTAAAATATTGACTGTTAACGTGATGCTTGGAATTTTGAGCTTGGATATGTGGATTTGTATTTCAGCACCTCGAGTAACACAGTTAGAAGGAAATTCATGTGAAATTTTATGGGAGACGGTACCACCAATGAAAGGTGACCCTGTTAACTACGTTCTGCAGGTATTGGTTGGAAGAGAATCTGAATACAAACAGGTAAGAACCAGTGTGCCTGGCATGTGTGCAGCTTTTTAGGCTCAGGCTGGCCTCTTACCATAAATGATTCAGTGAGCTACATTTTTCTTAAAATCAATGGTAGAAACTGCCTAACATGTACCTGTTATTAATTCTTTAGGGTATGTAAGACCTAGTTTACATTTTATTTTGTATGTGGTGGTATTCATCTTAAATTTTCAACTCTCAAGCATACACTTGTCTTATAAAGAGTTCTGTGTTGTGTGTCTGTATTTGTGTTGTGTGTTGGTATTTGATAATGGCAGTGATGTTTGCAAGTATCAGTGTGTATGTAATTGAAAACTAAAGTGCCAGTGGTTTTACTATAGAGGGGAAGTAGTCTGGACCTAACTACTGAAGCCTATGTCCTGTCTGCCTTTTTTATAGAAGTTGCAATGGAGGTGACTCTTAGGCCCCTGAGGCCTGTGATTTGAGGCTCTAGGTCACTGCTCATCACCCTTTAATGTGCATAGGAATCACCTGAGGATCCATTAAAATGCAGATTCTGGTTCAGTAGGGGGATTCGAGCTCCCAGGTGACACTGATGGTGCTGGTCCATGGACCATAATTTGCATAGCCTGGCTATATAAATCACATGATAAACCCATTCAAGAGAGAATGTAATTAGAACATAGCCAGATGAATTTGGTTTTATCGTTTTTTGTACTTCTTGTTGATCCTTAATTCTTCCAAAGTTAGCCATTATCAGGTCACTAACCATGAAGGATTCAGGTACTCTGTAGGTTTCCATAATGTTTCCCGGAACTTAACAACTGTTTTTGTGAATGCTGTTTGTTCTGTTTGGAAAGCAGAGGCTCATTCTTTTCAGCACTTTTAACAGGGACATTCATTTCTATTGAATCATAAAGATAAAAGCCACCTTTTTACTGTAACATTAGCATAATTTCTGAAGACGACTTCTGTTCTGCTGTTGAGGCTCAAATATACAAGACAAGTAGAAAATAATTTGATTCAGAGTTTTTGTTAAACTGCTGGTTGGTGTTTCTTATGAAATGCTAAAGAATACTTGCAAATAAAATGTGTAAAAAAATTAAAAATCAAAGAAAATTTTGGACATTTGCTGTACTTTATTAATGTGAATGTCAGATAAAAGATTAAATTGTTTTAAACACGTTTTGCAAAAGATCTTAAATATGGATTGTTTTCAAGGTTCAGGTAGAGAAGAGAGAAATTCCCCCACTAGATTTAGTTATCTTTAACACCAATGGCATTGTCTCATTCCCTAGCAATGTAAAAATGGTTAAAATATGAGGTGTTAGGAAATTTCACAGCATATCATTTGACACTTAATAATTCAGTTCCCAACAGTACATTTATTGCGCATTTGTCATCTTATTTGAAAAGGCTTTTATTCCATGTACCTTGCTTTTCCATCTGTTTTTGGAAAAATGTTCTGCTTCCCAAAGCGCAGTGACTGCTATTTCACACTGAAAAAGCAGCATTATTTGCTCATTATCTGTACATGTCAGGCATTGCCAAAATATAGGCGAATCTATTCAGTAATTTAGGTTTTACTGAGAGTGGCTCTTTTGAATCTGCTGTTCATTTAATGTTATATATTTAGACCCATGGACATACAAATACTAATGCACAATTTCATAGACACCTGCAGAATATTTTTCTTATTGTAAACAGCTGTGAACAAGTATTTCTTGTTGAAAACACAGTACTACAGGGCAGGCTCAGTAGATGGGGATTAGCATTCTTCACATGTCCATGTGTTTCCTACATTTACCAAGAAATTATTAAGACAAGTAGTGGTACATGAAAAGCCACAGTTGAGTCAGGGACAGTTTGTCCTTTTTTTTTTGCTTTTTGCTCCCTATTCAGTAAACACAGTAAACATTAACTTAAATGTGGTGTTTGAGCACTTCATTCACTTGTTCTGGACATGAGATAGGGAATGAAATCTATTATGTGTGTAGGGCAATGGTTAAAATAATTATAGTCCAGGAATAACAGGGGCAAAGCAAAAGAAAATGAGAGGTAATCACTGCTGTCCTTCTAGCCCAGCAGAGCTACCGGCTTATGATGTGTGGTGTGTGCCTCAGTTATAGCACTAATCATTAGACAGGATCTGATAATGTGTGGGCTTGTACTACTCATTTTTACTTTCTCGGCACTGGCAAATAAGCACTCGCTAAATGTTTCTTGCATGCGTGGAAGGGGCAGTTTCACAGTAACAGGGTTATTTATACCTGCAGAGGTGATAAGAGTAAATTTCAACATGGAATGGGTTTAGAAGTGACTTAGATTAAAAAAAAAAATCACCCCACAATAAGAGAGGGGTCATTGTACCCAAGCTCATTTTTACAACAACATACAAGGGCCAAGGACTTTTCTAATGTTTTGCTTGAAATATCGACCTTAACTTTACCTTAGTTCTAGCTGGTTAGCTTTCTTTTGTTCAGTTATCATGATGTGGAGCAAGCAGCTAGTTTTAATTGTTAAACAATCTGTTTACTTAAAGTATTAAATCTTTACCTAAAATTTTACTCTGCATTAGAATGCATGCATATATTGTCTTGATTTTTCTGCCACTTAATAAATAATCCAGGCATAAGCTTTTTCAGCAAGGTTAAAACTTCTTTTCAAACTATTAATTGTGAAGCATTCTTGACAAGGATAAAAATTGCATCTGTGTGCATGTGACTGACTTTTTTAGTGCCAGCCAGATATAGCATAGACCATTTAATACATACATAAGAATTAAAGCAAAGTGATTTTTATTTATATCCCTCTTCAAACATAAATGATTTTTACAAAATAAAAATTGAATGTAAGCATTGAAAATGAGAAGAATCAACTGTAAGAAATTATTAATCTATTGGTAGTCAAAATTTGTGACAAATTACTAAAATCCTTGGCGCTCAGATTTCTTGCATTAAGAAAACCTTTGGGCTGTCTGGTTAGCTCAGATGGTTAGAATA